TTTCAGTTCTTCCGGGTGTAGACTCAAGCGCGGAATTGCTGGGTCCTTACATTCCCATGAGCAGCGCGCATGGGTTCTAATGTCTAGTTATCTTCCTTCCTTCCTTCCTTCCTTCCTTCCTTCCTTCCTTCCTTCCCTCCCTCCTTCCTTCCTTCGTTCCTCCCTTCATTCCTTTTCTCTCTCTCTCTCCCTTCCTTCCTGGCTTTCTCTCTCTCTTTCCTTCTTTCTTTCTTCCTCATAATAGCCATCCTAATGGATGCAAAGTGGTATCTCATTGTGGTTTTTGATATTTTTAGTATTTCAAAATCAGATAAACCATAACTCTCTTTCTCTAAAGCTATTTTTTCCCTCTTACCTCCTTTCTTGTCCTCCCGTCACCCTATTCCAAAAGTTGTACGTTAGCTGCTATTCGGAAGTCCCTCAGACACAGGTTTCATGCTACTTTCTACATGACACTGTAGATTGTAAATGGCTATCTTAAAATGTCATTTGAGAGGTGCTCGGGTGGCTCATTTGGTTGAGCGTCTCTTTTTTTTTTTATTTTTTTTTCAACGTTTATTTATTTTTGGGACAGAGAGAGACAGAGCATGAACGGGGGAGGGGCAGAGAGAGAGGGAGACACAGAATCGGAAACAGGCTCCAGGCTCTGAGCCATCAGCCCAGAGCCTGACGCGGGGCTCGAACCCACGGACCGCGAGATCGTGACCTGGCTGAAGTCGGACGCTTAACTGACTGCGCCACCCAGGCACCCCTGAGCGTCTGACTCTTGATTTAGGCTCAGGTCATGGTCTCACGGTCGTGGGATCGAATCCCGTGTTGGGCTCTGCTCTGAGCGTGCAGCCTCTTTGGGATACTCTCTCTCTCTCTCTGCTCCTCCCCCATTCTCTCTCTCTCAAAATAAACTTAAAAAAATAAAATCAAATGTCATTTGAGCAACTTGAATTTTAATGTGTATGGGAGCAAAATAGCCATTTAGGAGACACTGTCCTGTGAGGCTCCTCTGGGGTCCCAGAAGGGGTCTTAGAAATTGCCCAAGGACAGTTTCTGTTCAAGAAGAGACTGACTCAAATGTAGACACAACCATCTTATCACCTGAGTGAGGAGCTGGCCTGGGGAGCTTGAGTGCTTTTCTCCAGGGGAGACCGGAAGCCTGGCGGCCAGTCGGCAGGTCCACATGGTGGAGGGGCTGCGCACAGGGCGAGAACCTCTCTCCAAATGCTCTCTGGCGCTGCGTCTTGGCTGTCCTCCTGGCAGGTTGAAGGAAGAGTAGGAACTAGCTCTGGGGCAAAGTGGACATACTCCCAGGCCAGGACAAGTCGGGTGGAGGTAGGGGTGCTTGGAGAGGCTGATTCACAGGATCACGAAGCTCAGGTTAAAAAGTCTGAGGCCTGTGCTGGAGCGTTTTCTGCAGGGGGCATGATCCACTTTGCATGATAAAAACGCGAGCTGTTGATTGGGAGTCAGGGGACCACGTAGGAGGCTTCTGCAGAGATCTTAGAGAGAGGAGATGGTGGCTGGGACCAGGAAGGAGCCGTGGTGATGGAGAGAAGTGGCAGACGTGAGACACGAGGTAGGGACTAGCTATCCAGACCCATTGATGGATTTGTGTGGAGGGACTGGGGTAGGGATCATTGACTCCATAAATGATGTGACCATGAGCTGAGCAGGGCCCAAGGGGAAGGTGCTGACTGTAGAGTGAGAAGTGTCTGGTTGAGAGTGCAGTTTGGACAAAGAAGCGTTTTCCCTTCTGGAAGGCACCTGCAGGAAGACTGGACTAGGTGGTCATAAGACTGTTTTAGTTTTACTCGCCAAAGTCACATTTGGCCTTTGATCCCCAAGTAAATTCTAACTGTCTGAAGTCAAGAAAGACAATGACCATCCGACTTGGCAACCAGTTGGATAAGAGCGGGCTTGAATTTGCATCTGCTGGTAAGTGATGGAGGACGACATGGGACTCTCCGGCAGCGGTGGCTGCCTCCTCGTCCCGCAGAGGCCCTGGGGCATGTGGCTGGTGAATGAGCATCGGCGGTGACCCCTTTGTTCTGGGCAGGGGTTTATCTGAGACAACTCCGTGCCGCTTCCCCCTCCTCACTCCGGGAGCAGATGGCTGAAGGCCTCAGTGGCCCACAGTCCACATCTCATGAAACACACGTGAGTGACAGCAGCCTTGCTTCCTCCTGACTAGGAAGGCCAGCTTCCCACCAGGAGGACCCTGAGCCCCCCCCTGCGCCCCTCCATCCGGGGCCTCCCTCATGTGCCCCAGCCGGGGTGCAAGTTCTCGGGGGGGGGTCTATTGCTGCCATCACCATCTTTCCAACACTAAATTCTCGATTAGTTGGAAGATTTGGGGTTGTGATAGACAGAAAGCCCCTGGTAACAACTAACTGATGCTGGGGCTGATGCAGGATATCTGTCAACAAGTTACAGGATCTTTGAGCCAGGGTGTTGAGTCCTGCAACAGAGACTGGATTGCCAGGAGCCATTTCAGAAGTGCTTAGATGGGTTCCCGGAGAGGACTGGGCCAGGGCTACATTGGGGAACCCTAGCGAGGCCTCTGCCCCGGGTGCAGCCTCTGGAGGGCACTAAACTGGAAATGGGGTGTCAGGTGGCTAAGATCTCAACATGGGTAAGGAGTAGCTTTGTGCCAAAAAATTCATTAATCAAGATAAACCATGTCTTTAAAAGTTTTTTTTTTTTCAAAAAAAAAAATAAACGCAGGGGCGCCTGGGTGGCTCAGTCGGCTGAACAACTGACTCTTGATTCGGGCTCAGGTCATGACCCCAGGGTCATGGGATCAAACGCCGGGTTGGGCTCTGTGCTGAGGGTGGAGCCTACTTGGGATTCTCTCTCTCCCTCTGCCCCTTTCTCCCCCCCCCCCCCCACTCTCTCTTTAAAATAAAAAAAATTTTTTTTAATGCAAAAAAATCTATGATGAACAAAACATCAACAGTTTAAATGCAGAGAGGTGGTGGTTTTTTGTGATCCTGCACTCTTGTGCAATGGAAGCCGTTTCCAACCAGCCCAAAGTTCCCAGGTAGCTGTGCTGTCCCCTGCTATGTGGCTTTATGAGGGTTGATAATGGGGTGTGGACAGATTTGGGCAACTTGGGACTTGCTATATAGTCATGTTTTGTGATTGTAGAGCTTTTAGTAACCTTTCCACTCAGTTTAAAATATGGGAGCATATTTTGATACATGTATAGATTTTGATAAATGTATACAAGGACTCACATTTTTCCTTTTGCCTCAGGCTCCAATGGGACTCCCCATGGCCTTGGTCTCAACCCTGGATTCTTTTCACGGCTTGGAAAACATGCATCTAGAAAGCAATCCTCAAGTGGAAACAAAACTTTGGACCCTTCTTGTCAGTTCTCCAATTCTGTTGAATATTTTTGCCATGCATAAATGCCCATTACATGAGAAGTCAGCAGTCTGGGGAAATCGTGAAACCAAATTATGGTAGGCTAGTGCTCTTTACCATAAATGAGTCATTTATCTTGTTATTTGATTCTTAAATCGTTTACTCTGTCTCTCAAGAAGTCTGCTTTGGAAAAATCACCAAAGGAATTAGAAAACACACACACACACACACACACACACACACACACAC